TCTGACTGTACTATTATATAACTATGTGGTAAGTGATATATATTAATATACAACTATGTGGTAGGTAGCATATATTGGCATATAGTACAACTATATGGTAAGTGATATATACTGGTATATAGCATATAGCAATATATGGTATATAGTAACATATAGTATATAGTGGCATACAGCATACAATGCTATACAGCATATATTAATATATAGCACATATTAGCATATAGTATACACTAGTGTATACTTTAATATTCTAATTATTTTAAATATAATATAAATTCTAATACAATACAAATTTAACAAGAATGAGAGTATAGTGACTTAATAAAGTGGTTAAGTTGTTATATTCCCAAGTGATATATTGGTAAATTGGAAGTTCAAAATCTATTAACAACAGAAATTTAAAAATTTACTTGTATAATAGCTACTATTTTTCAATGATTAGTTAGAACAGAATCTCTGTAACTTTGATAGTACTAACAAAATTAGAAGATTATAAGCTTTTATACAATATACAGTATAAGTTATATAAAGGCATACAAGCCAGTATTAATCAGTGCAAACTCAAGATAAGACCTTGTATTTGTATAAATCTAGAAAACTAGAAAGATGGATACCTGCTTAGCAAGACCTAAGTAGAAAAGTAATATAAACATTCAATGGTGGCTACTAAAATAGACTTCATCTGAGACTAGCATAACTGAACAAAGACCAGGTATTTAGAGAAAAAGTACTTTACCAACCAGGCTACCAGAACTGCTGAAGAAAAAGAATTTGTAATACAAATACTAAAAGACTAGTGTCCTATCTGAGCTATCTGGATTGGTAATCTGAGATGATTGACTAAGAATACTGAAAGGAAAAGTACTGAGTTGTCTTGAAGAGAAGATACCAAAGTTTAAACAAACTTTACAAAAGCTAAATAGATAATAGTAGTAGTTTTGACTTGCAAGTACTTGTTCTTAGACTTGGTGTAAGTTACTGAAGTAGATTAGATAATATAGTAATAATAGATACTGAACTGCTTTAGCAGGTGATGACCTCAAGAATGAATCAGTTAATCAAGCTAGTAGTTCTATAGGTGGCTACAATGATTTTGGAACTTGGACTGATTAATGTATCGCATATCCTGAATAAGGTTAGATGAATTGGTATAGAAAACTCAGATTAAAGGATTTAATTAAGTAAGCCAAATAATAGATAGATTATAAGTACAGCATTTAATATAGAATCTAATAATAGACAGACTACTTAAATTAGGCACTCAAAAGGTGCAGATATAGCTAGAATATATCTTTGTCAAAATATACTTGTTTGGACTTCTTAAAAAGATAGTGTTCTATAATTTGATTTAATTTGATTTGATTTAATCAAATATTCAAATTAAATCAAATTCAAATTATAGATTTATTTGATTTAATCAAAATTTTTTTTTTCTTCAGCAATTCTGTTTACTTTATTATGAGAACAGACTTTCATTCCTACATCAGCATACGAAGAAATCTAAATCTATAGTGTTCTAACCAAAGAGTAAACTCACTTATAGCGTACCTCGCAGATGCTAAAACATATACTTGCAGTCAGGGCGAACTATTAAACTGCTGTGTTTTACTCAGATGCGACCTGCCTAGCAACACTTGGCTTTCTCCAGAAATCCAGAACTCACTCCAGACTTATTTTTCCCAAATTCCTTGGCTGGCTATTGCTTACTCCATTAAGATTTCTGCTCTATAATAGAATGCTGCCAAACTGATGACACTTTCTTGTAGTGAAGGAAAAAAGAAAAAAAAAGAAAATAATAAAGAATGAAAAAAAGAATATATAATAAAAACAATTACATCAAAGAAAATGAATACTAATATTAAGGAATATAAAAAACTAAACTAAAAATCTAAAAGAAACTATTGCTAAAAAGAAGAAAACCTGCTGACTAGACGAAAACTTCTAATTATACAGAGTAATGATCTACTATTAAATGTGAGAATCTTGACAAAAATGAAAACATAAAACTAAAACAAAATGCACTATAACTTGTGCCAGAGGCTAAAAATTATATACAAGAGACATATTGTATATCTCAAAACACTTTGCTTGATTTTTTCCAATTAAATCCATATCTTCATCTAAAAGTATAAGGATTTTAAAAACTCCACGTGACTTGTTGTTATCATTTCATTCATTTCATAATATATGCTGATTTGTCATCATCTAGTTTCCCAATATAGAAGTAGTAAACAATGCCAATCTTTTGGAGGGGGTAAGCTGAATTTCCCACTTTTTGTTGAAAATTTTGAAGCTTGGGTAATGATAATATTAAAGATTACAAGAAAGCTTTGAAATTAAAGATTGAATTGTTGAAAGAAATTAAATGGAAAAATTGAGAGAAATATGAAGAAAAATGGAAGGAGTATTGTTCCAAGAGTTCTTCAAAGGCTTTCATCTTCAAACAAACTTTAGTTTTCTTTTCTACTTGCTGTTTCCAGAGACTCCTCTGGTTTGGATGCTAAATGCAAAGGGAGTCTATTCAAAAAGTACAGAGAACAAGGCTTAACCTCTTTGCAAATCGTCTAAAACACTAGCTTCTTAGTGTATCATGTTTAAAGACTTCATTGACAACAGTTTGTATTGAGAAAACTTCAAGTTGTTGTCGACTTCTAGGCTTGAATCTTCAACTTGCTTTCAGTGTTAGGTTGGTACAAGTGATTGTCGAGAAGAGTTGTGTGGATTCAATCAAATTTGAATTGACAAAATATTTAATTTGATTTAACAAATATTTAAATATTTGAATTAATTTGAAGTGAAACAATAGATTTAATAGCTATTTACACAAAATTTTATTATAATAACTACTATTTTTATTTTAATTAATTAGAGATATTTTGATTAATATACAAAATTAATTAGCTTAGTAAAATTTTGTATAAATTTAGATTTTTGTAAAATGATAAAATTTTCAAAATTTTTAAAAATATTTGAATATTATTTGATTTAATTTGATTTGTTTAAATCAAATCAAATTCAAATTAAGGATTTATTCAATTTGATTAATATTTGATTCGATTTGATTTGACTTTGAGGAATTCTAGAAAAAAGCATCACATAATTCTATAATCTAATAAAAGCAATAAACCAAAGAGGTTAATCTTGACTAAAAAAAAAAACAAATTTAACAAGAATTATATCTAAAATATAAAATATAAATTATAAAGTATTGTTTTATAAAACTATTAGTATAAAATTATAAGTTACTTTGTAACAATATTAATAAGTTCTTTAACTAAAATTTAAAATTAGAATATAATTACAGAGTAAAATATAAAGATCTAAATATTAGTATAAGGTTTTTGAAGATTCAAAACATTTTTACTTAGTATTTCTGCTAGCTAATATATTTTTAAAGAAATTATAGTGTTTAACACCAATAATGCATTTTAGTAACCCCATAAAATTTAAGACAAATTGTAATAAAAATTTATTTAAAAATATTAATAAAATTTTGTTTATATTACAAGAGTGCTTTTAAGCATCTCCCACAAGAAACATGTTTCTTGTATCTGTTAGCAAATAGTGAACCACAATTTAGTGTAATATAACATAATTAGAAGCTTTCAAAACAAACATTAGTTTGAAGAAAAAACCATATATTTCGCAAAAAAACATATAAGAAACCTTCTTTCATACACTAACAAAAAGTTTTCTTTGGGCAAATTTACATATATTTCTTTTATTCCTAACCTTAAACTAAGCGCTATCCTAATATAAATAAACTTTAAGGAATTTTGGGAGATATATATCCCGCGGAAGATGCCTATAATTTCCCATATTACAATATATTTTTTTAAAATTTTAACTATTTTTTATTGTATTTATTGTAGTACAAAGGTGAAATCATATTAATAAAGATTTTTAAAGATATTAATATTTTTTTTTAAGATACCAAATATAAATTATGAACATGTTTTAAATAATACTGTAAATTTGTAAAAAAAAAAAAAAAAAAAAGATTTATTACGTATTATATCTGAAATTACGTAACGGTAACTAAATAAAGTATTAAAGTCTGAATTCGGTAATAAAATTTTGACCTCAGAAGTTGATGTATTACTCATTTAGTATTAATAAAAAATCTTATCAATTTCATTATGAAGATCATCGCTATATGCTTTACTACGCAATTTATTTTGTATGAACTTGATAAATGAAGACCCGCAGCCATTATTTATGAACGAATAAATGCCTCGACTTCGTATGCATATTTACACTTACACATCCTAAATACCGATACGTATTAATAATTAAATCAGATGCTAATAACCCTTACGTGACCCTATCAATACATACGTAACACATATTTTTCAGAAGTCTTGGTTAGAATTTAAACATTAGTGTTAGCTGTATTCGATTTCCAGAATTTCCGGTTGATGATCACAAATCAGAGGTCACACGCTTTATCGTTATTGTATTGTCTTTTAGTAAAAGTGAAATGTCTACCGCTACTTTTTGTATTTTTTAAAAAGTTACGGCCTGAACGGCCGTTTCTAGTTATGATAAAAAGTCCAGAATTGGTATAAGTGGCAGGTGCTCCTTTAAGTTTCTACTAATTTTGAGTATGATTTTCTGTCTTGTGACAAATGTGATGACTGATATTTTTCCTTTCCGCTGGCTCCGATTTACACTTTGTTGTCTATATTGTCTAAATAAATAATTAATATATATAATAAAAGCTTTTGAGAATGACCATACTAGGAAATTTTATGTTTGGCTCTTTTTACTCAATACATGTCCGCCAAAATTATAATTTCTAATATTAATCAAAAAAATTTTTCCACACTTATTTATTACTCTTATCTTTTTACCTTTACTTTTTTATAAAAAAAAAAAACTATATATTTTACTTTCTGTCGTTTACGACTACTTTAGAAAAGAAAAAAAAAAAAAATCAATTATGAGCCATGGCAACTCTAACGATGCACGCCTAGAGCAAAGATTCGGTATGTATTTCTATCCTTTCGTCTTAGATTGCAATTTCATAAGGTCGTCTGTAAACACACCGCAGTTTCTTTAACAATACAACATTGCCATCTGATTTATTATGTTTTTGATTCTTTTTTTACTCGGATCTCTTTACCTTATTGTCTTTACTATAGTCATCGCTTAAATTTTAACTTTTGGAATTTTGTCATATCTAAATTTCTTTTTTCCGTAATTTTAAAATGCAGCTCAACTAGGCATCAAGGATAATCCAAGTTCGGGGAAACCTACCGCTGGTCGTTATGTTCCTCCCCATTTGAGAGGTCAACCTCATACCAGAAATAATAATAACGAAAACTCATCTCAACATCAGCAACTACAACCACCACCACCACCACCACCAAGAAATAATGATCATTATAATAATGAGTCTGATGAATTAGTCCCACCTCTCCAAACACGTCGTCCAAATGGATGGCATCAAAGGAACGAAAGGTTTATGATCTTTTATTTTATTTTATTTTTTTAATCTTAATTATAAAGATTAGTTTTTATCGCCCGCATTTTTTAAATTTCTCAGATAATAGTCTTTAATATCTTGGTACTTTTTTTAAATGTATATATATTCTTTTGAAAACTCTACAAAAATTCTATTTCAAAAAAATGGACATTATAAAGGCTATCGATTCAATAATAATCAAAGATATTTAATAACCACATGATCTTTAATAATTAACCTTTTCTTATTAATATTAGTGCGGCTCCCGCGGTAAATTGGGATAGTCGTCGTACATCATTTCCTCGTCCAGATGCTTGGGGAGGAGGTAGTCGTAGTGAAATGGCATATTCCACGTCTCAACGTGGTGGATGGAGTGATCGTGCATCATCTCAAGGTGACCGCTGGAATGCTGGCTATCGTAATAACAACCGATATACTTCGGGTTCGGGTTCTGGTTATGGTGGTCGTGGCGGTCCTATTACTGAAGATGTGATTGATGGTTATGGTTCTTGGCGTGATGGTGTTCATGTTGTTTCTCAAAGAAATCAACGTATGGAACGTGATTTATTTGGCTCTCCTGATGATCCTGATCGTCAACACACTGGTATCAATTTCGAAAAATATGATGATATCCCTGTTGAAGCTAGTGGAAATAATGTTCCAGAATGTGTCTTGAATGTATGTGTACACGATATAGTATTTAT